TTGCTAGGGACTTGCCCGGCACTTGCTCTCTACCTCTATTTGTTATCTTACTTCTATCATTGACAGTCCCTCTAGGTTGTGGGCTGCTTGCCTGTGTTCCTGAGAAGCATCTACGGTACCAGTCTATAGAGTGTGTTTTCTTTAGTGAATTACCGGTATGTTTACCGGTAATAAACTTGCACTGTTTTATGTATATGTTTGATTACATACAGCCTTGTGACAGTTTTCCTGCATGTCATAAGCATTTGAATATAAATTAAAATGTTAAAATCAAATCTGATATTGTTTTACCTTTTATTTGGTGTGTGGAAGGTGTGCGGAAGAGGGGGTAGTCTTATACGGCGAGTATATAACAAACTCTGTATTTTAAGTGGAAATGTTAGGGGGTCGTCTTATACGCCCAGTCGTCTTATACGCCGGCAAATACGGTAAATAAAAAAAGGCTAGTCTCATGAGTAGAATACACATTTATAATTTACAGCATTTGTGAAAGCACATTATGACCGCACTAGATTATGAGATGCCTAAGAACTTTTCCAAGAAAATCTTAACTAAAAAGTAAATATTACATGGGTGAGATAATGTGGTATATTAACAGTTAGTGTATCAGATTAACAAGGAATAGAGAACTCCTCTAACAAAAGATGGCCCAATGCCTATTATCTCAGGATAAAAATTAAGAAAAAAACAAACAAACAAGAGAGAGAAGGAATGAAACATGATGAGGTCACTAAGGAAAATTTAAAGGTACATTTCATAGGTCACCTCATCATGTAAGAACCCCATGAAATAACATAGGCAGTGTTTTATCCTTCTCTGTCAGATGGAGAAGTTGACAGACAACAGATTTCTCTAGTTTGTTCAACATTACAGTTTGTTCAACATCGAATAAAGGTCAAGCTGAACATAAAACCCATTTATTCAGGCTCCAGAATCTTTGTTCTTTTTATTCCAACACATCAGCTTCATGCTATGCCATCGCTCTCCTTTTCTTCTACTCTCTCTCCTTCTCTTTAACACTTTTCTTCCTCCTCTTCCTCTTCCTCCTCCTGCTCCTCCTCCTTCTTTCTCATTCCATTCTCCATTTCTCACTTTTTGACTTGGTTTCTCTTTCATTTCTCCTCTTCCCTCTCCCGCCCTCTTTTATATTCTTCTGCTTCAAAGTCAAAACCAGACGGATGTGGGCTAGCTGAGGGAAGATCTCCTTGATCAAACTGTCCCTGCTTTAGTGGTGTCAATCAGCAGGACTATCAATTTCAAAGAAGCATATCGGAAGGATTGTATTTATAAATTATAAACCAGGATATGTAGAATATCTGGGTTGCAATAGAACTTCAGTCATTACTGGTTCTTCCACTGAGCAGTTGATCTCCCTTAGTCCTAATAGTTAAGTCTATGAGGGGCAGAGTGCTAGCAGCCAAGGCAGCAAGAAACACCTTCCATGAGAAAAGAGTAAGAGAGAAGTAATACGGGGTTTTTTAAACTGACAGCTCTTGCAAAAAGTCCCAATGTTGTTTCTGTCTGCTCCTGCCCATTTCTGGGAAGGTCAGAGCAAAACAAGACCAACTAGGAACATCTGTGTATGAAGCCTAACAAAAATTATATGGACACATATGTGACACAGATGACACAGAAATGACTTTGTTGATGGTGCTCTGCATTTATAGTGTTGGAAGAATAGCTAGGAAGTGGAATATTGGACAGAAAAGTCATCCTAAATACAGTATTTCCATTCTTCCTTCTAAACATGAAATAATGAACTTTCCATTTCCTTATTTTGTTAATGCTTCTTTAAAATAAAGCATTTAAGATTTGTATTTGAAACTATTTTGGGAAATAACTGGAGCATGCAATCACTTGAATAACATACTGAACATTTAGTCCCCATCTCTCCAGAGCTCCAGAATTGTCCCTTTTGGAATTTGCAACTCACGTGTACATCTGGTCCCCAAAGACCAATGCAAAGCCAAGAAAGATAAAGGTCCTTGGGAGCCTTTTGAACATTAAAAACACTGGATCTGGGGACAGGACAATTCCAGATTCTGGTTCTAAGATCTGCCTTTAGTACTTTGTGACCTTGGGGAAAATACAACACTTGATTTCTCTGCAGTTTTCTTATCTGCAAGTGAAGAAACTGAACTAGGATAAAATCCTATGATTTTATGATACTGTAGGAATAGTCTGTTTGAAAGCCCTAAAATGCTGAAGGAAATGTGGCAGGACACTTAGGTAGATGGAATTCACTTCTAGTTTATCTTGCATTGACTTTTATAGTAACACCAGAGGCCTGATGCACGAAATTTCTGTAGGGGCGCGTGGAGAGGAGGGAAGGGGCGGCCTTCAGCCCAGCCTGCAGTCTCTCACAATCCAGGTCCACTGGCTCCTAACCGCTCACCTGCCTGCCAGCCTGATCGCCTGTAACTGCCCTCCCCTGCCAGCCTGATCACCCATAACTACCCCCACTGCTGGCCTGGTCGCCCCTCACTGCCCCCCTTGCTGGCCTGGTCGCCCCACACAGCCTGCTATTTGGTCATTTGGTCGCCCCTCACTGCCCCCCCTGCCAACCTGGTTGCCCCTCCCTCCTCCCCCACCCTCCCAGTGCCGGCCTGGTCACCCGACACAGCCTGTTGTTTGGTCATTGCGTGAGGGCGTCCTGACCAATTTGCATAGTCCTCTATTATTAGTATAGATTATAAAATAACACATTTTTTTGGTATTTAAAGAATGACTGATATAAATTGCCATAATAATGTTCCTTTACTATTTTCATCCTGGTTCATTAACTATCATTTAAGATACCAAATGACTTGTAAAAATTTTTTTAAAAAAATAAAGGTACATTTCCTAAGTCAAAATTGAGGGTAAAAAAGTTGTTATTTTTTATAGCTAAATAAACACTGGTCTTCTTCAATCTGTACACAGTTCTATTTCAAATAATTAATTCAACAGAGTTCTCTTTTTTTTAATACCTATTATAATACAGAAGGGACTGTGCTAGATACTATATATAGGGAGATGACAAATCATAATCATATTTCTAAAACAGGTCTTTTTCTCTACTTTCTTCATTGTTAGTCCTTTTTACGTGTCTATTTGTTTTGTTAATCCTCACCTGAAGATATTTTCCCATTGATTTTTAGAGAGAGTGAAAGGGAGGGGGAGAAACAGAGAAACATGGATGTGAGCGTCACACCTGGATTGGCTGCCTCCACACATGTCCCTACTGGGGCCAGAAATCGAGCCAGCAACCAAGGTACATGCCCTTGATGGGGAACTGAATCCTAGACCCTTCAGTCTACAGGTCAATGCTATATCCACTGAGCCAAACAGGCTAGGGCTTCACACATTCATTTTAATTCATGTACGTGAAACCCACATCCTCCTTATTATTTATAAACTAGAGGCTCGATGCACGAAATTCGTGCAAGGGGTTCAGCCCCTGCCACCACCGCAGCTGCCTCTGCCTTGGCCCCTGCCCACCGCAGCTTCATCTGGAAGGACGTCCAGTATAATTAGCATATGGTGCTTTTATTATTATAGATTCTTCTAAATTTAAGTATATGTTAGAATGAAAAATGTTGAGATGTACTCTTTTAAAAGATTTTCAAATTACTTATGTCATATAGACAAAGTTCAAACAGAGAAGGCTAAGAGATTTGGATAATGAAACTACAGGAGGAACAGTATGATTAGCTTAGAAAAAAAGACTATAATTAACTTAGGGGCAAAAGCTATGAAAACCACAAAAGCAACAAATTAATAATAATTAATGTTATTTTAGGAGGCAAATTTTACAATAACAAATGGAAGTGATCTAAATAGCCTCAAAAGTAAGAAATTTCTTTAGCACTAGTGTAGAAATATAATTAACATCATATATATTTATCAATAAAACAGAAAAGCTATGCCTATCAGTGATTAAAAATAGCACAGGAGCCCTGGCCGGTTTGGCTGAGTGGATAGAGTATCAGCCTGTGGACTGCAGGGTCCCAGGTTCAATTCCAGTCAAGGGCATGTACCTTGGTTGCAGGCACAACCCCAGTGGGGAGTGTGCAGGAGGCAGCTGATCGATGTTTCTGGCTCTCTATCCCTCCCCCCTTCCTCTCTGTGAAAAATCAATAAAATATATTTTTTAAAAAATAGCACAGGATTCTGACTCATGAACTTGCTAATATTATTTCTAAAGTCCAGTAAATTAAAGAATAGGTTTACCTATATTCAATTTCCTAAAACTTTTCATTTAAAAGTCTCTAAGAATTAGCAACATAATACAACTTCTAAAATCTGCATATAATGTTCTTGTGTTAAGCATAATTATTTTAAAACACCTACCTGTTCTTCCCTTTTTTGTTTTCGAAGCTGTATTCCTTCTTCTTCTCTTCGTCTTCGCATCTCTTGGGGATTTAGGGCTTTATTCTTATAACTTTTCATTCTATAGTTATCTTTCCCTGAATAAGCCATGGCACCTTAAGGTTAGGAGAGAAAAAAATGGATACTGATAATTCTCAAACATGAGATGTTTACCCAACGGCAACTAAATTCAGGTTCACAGATTAAATAGTCCAATAAAACCCATTCTGAAAATTAGGTACAAAGAACACATTCCCACACTTCCATATCAAATTTGAGCAAAATGACCTACTTTTTTAGCACTAAACTATCAAACAAATAACAGACTCCGGTCTAAACACAAAGTCATTACCCTAAATTCACTGATTCTAAGGTGCATGCCCCATCCCTGGTATTTCAACCTCTCTGACGTGGGATGCATTTTAAAACCACCGTCAGCCAGGAAATAATCATGAAATAGGTGGGTAAAAAACTTCTAAATTACAGCTTCTGGCAAGATCAAGAAATAGCTATCAATGAAGTGTCTTATTTCCAAAGGACTATGGCATTAGGCGTCAATAAGCACACCTCAAATATTTACTGCAGGCTGGCTTCTTCCACTTACTTTAGCCACTGCTTAAGAACTAAGGCCACACAGGCATGACTTGAGTCATGACTGCAAAACAAGATTTCATTGCTACAGTATAATTCGTTCTTTTTAAATACTGAAATGCTTGTATATTTTATTTGGAAATTAGTCTTATTACAAATGTATTTTAAAACCTTAACATTTTATAAGCATATTTAAAATGTTTATTTTGTATAAATATGAAATTTTATATTTGCAATATATGTAATAGTTTCACTTTTAGGAAAATAATTATAAATACTTTTTAATAATAGTATTACATTGATATTTTGATATCTGAAATGAATACTAAATTACTGATATTATAACATATCCTGGATTTACACATTAAAATATGAGTCTAATACAGGGTTTCAACTTGAATTTAACATGAGATAATTAATGTCTGTTTCTAACATTAGTCTGATAAATTTTGATAAAACCAGAGAGAATGTTGTGATCAATTAGCACTTATGAAGTAAACACAGAGAAGAAAAAGTTGACATTTACCTGCCATCCCTGATGTAGAAGAAATAGACTATTCAACTGGCAAATTATATTGTAAGAGGTAAAGTACACTAAAACATCTGCATTAAACCCTGTGAGAACATAGGAGACACAGCAACAAACTGTGCCTGGGGGCCTCTGAAAGTACTCACAGTTATCCTCTCTTACAGGATGAATAAGAATTTCCCAGGGAAGGAGATGAAGAGAGAAAGGGGAAGGAACAAGCATTTCAAGCAGAAGGAATATCTGTAAAGACAGTTCTTGAAGAAGCCTGGCATAAACACAAAACGTTAAAAAACTGAGTGTGCCTGAATAAGAGAACATATGGAAGCAGGAGCAGGAGATAAAGCTAGAAAGGTAGGTAAGAACACATATGGTTCCTGTAATCTGATTCAATAATTACAGGCCTAGTGAATGTAAAGAATATTTAATTCAATAACTCATGTTGAAGCTCAGTTGAAGATCAGTAATGATCTCTGATCTCCATTTTTTCCCTCAAGGGACTACGTTCTTATTAATGACACCGAATTTTTATATATGAAATAAAGAACAATGCTAAACATTGTTATTAATAAAGCTTGAACAAGTTGCTTCTAATGACAAATATGTGTTGGTTTACACACTATTTCTGAAATCAATTCATTAAATATATAAAGAGGGATTTGGGTGGATTATAAATATACCTTAATTGCTATAATACATGTGTTAAATTCAAATATACAAAGTACCTTTTAAATCATTCCAAAGTCCTCAGCCCATTCTGTTCTACCTTAGCTCCACCCCTATTTACCAGTGACCTCATTATCAAGTCTGATGTCTTGTATGGCACTTAGCTTATTGTAGACTCTTATACAGGGTGGGACAAAAGTGGGTTTACAGTTCATATGAAAAATAACACAATAATTAATAATAATATAATAACCTCGTGTTTCGAATACTCACAATTGTAAAACTACTTTTCCCCCCTCTGTATGCTGAATAGTAGAAAATATTTCAGCAAAATGAAATGTTCACAGCAATAACCCTATTAAAAATATGTATCTCCTATACAAAAGGAGTTATCTAGGTAGGCCCTTGACCTCTAAACTGTTTTGATCACTTGTAGGTATGTATACAAAAAATACAGGGCTGGGCAAAAGTAGATTTACAGTTCTGAGTACAAAAAAAAGTTTATTCTTGTCTTATTATTAATTACTAGAGGCCCAGTGCACAAAATTCATGCACTGGTAGGGTTCCTAGCAGCTGCCAGCTGCCTGCCACTGCCAGGGCCTCCCTCCCTTCCCCCAGCCAGCCCCACTCTCTGGTCAAACTCTCGGACAACTCCCAGATGAGGGGACAATTCGCATACTACACTTTAATTATATAGGATTATATTATTTTCCATAGAAGCAACTATTAACCTACTTTGTCATTCCCCCCTCCCGTATTTGTACATTCATCCTCAGTATGTCTATTTATATACATGAAATGTTAGTCTAATAAACTATCCCATTACAAAATTCACAAATAGAAAACAATTTTAAAGTAATAGTTTTAAAAGGTACACTTATGGAAGTTCTAATGTTTTCTCTCCACATCAAACTGAATCACTTGTGCCTCCTCAACACATACAACAGACCAGTAATCTAGGTAACCACATTAAAACTGTTTTACATAAATATGTTAACCAAGTTAAAATCTAGCTCCAGCACTAATACCTACATCATCGATTCCCTTTTCTTCTATGGTACTGACTTCTTGCCTGCGTCTTCACAGCAGTTTATTATTTTAAAAATATATTTTATTGATTTTTTACAGAGAGGAAGGGAGAGAGATAGTTAGAAACATCGATCAGCTGCCTCCTGCACACCCCCTACTGGGGATGTGCCCGCAACCCAGGTACATGCCCTTGACCGGAATCGAACCTGGGACCTTTCAGTCCGCAGGCCGACGCTCCATCCACTGAGCCAAACCGGCCAGGGCAATTCACAGCAGTTTGAAGAGGACGTAAAGCCCAAATAAACTCAGCTCTCAAGGTTCCTCATTCAAGAGGGCTGTTTCGTTCTCTGGAAAATAACTCTGAATCCTATGCTTTAAAGGCTGCGGTCTCCTGCAAGTTCTTTCAAACGTAAGAAACGCTATTCAGGCGCTCTGACGTTGCAAAACAGAGGAATTTCTTCCGCCATAAGCTTATTTTTCGCCCAGCTCTGTGAAAACCTGTGTTGAGGTTGGGCAGATAACTGGCACCTAACGTTTTTCTAACATCTGTTACACGGAATGTCTTGTACCCGCAAGCCTCCCTCTCCATGGGCTTGGGCGCCTGCGAGTAAGAGTACAGGATGGGCACAAGGGGGGCAGCGGGCGGCCACAGCCCCGACACCCGCACTTCAATCAAAAGGACAGAACCGTCTCCTTTTGCCCAGAAGTAAGTGACTTTCCTGCAGCATGAGAATCATTCAGTGTTGTAACGGAGACATCAGTCAGAAGCGTGTTTTCGTGTGTGTGTGTGTGTGTGTGTGTGTGTGTGTGTGTGTGTTAACGTGCTCAAGAAGTTCTAGAGTAAATGCCAATGTCACTCCTTTCGAGGCGTCACCGCCCCGTTTCCAGCTCTCGGACCCCTTCCCCTCTCGGGCGGATGGAGGACACCACTGGATGTCGGGGGTCGGAGTTGCCAGCCGCGCATCCACGCCGCCAGAGGAGCCGGGCGAGCCCTCCCGGCCCCTGCGCCCCAGCGGCGGGGC